TATTTAGATATAATTAATTTTTTGCAATGTATTTAAAAACAAACAAACAACTAAAAATAAAACTGTTTGGTTAATTAATATAAGCGATTGATCATTGCGGTTCCGAAGACCCTGAGTTTTACATTAGTTTTTAAAAAAATTCTCTTCTTTGAAGAAAGTTTTTTATTTTCTTTATGTGTGTTTGTATGTTTTTCTTATATCAAAGCCACAGCGGGCTATCTACTGTGTTCATAAGGGAATCAAACCCTTGATTTTAACGTTATAAATCCGAAGACTTACCACCGGGAGATTTTTGTTTTCTTTTTTTTAAGGTTAGACCGTTAGGACACACTGCGGCTCTTGAAATGTTTTGGTCTTAGACAAACAAACAAACAAAAATGTCTCTTCTTCTTTGGAGGGTTGCCGACCCCTGGACTAGAGTGATGGCAGCTAGTCTAAGACACCCACTGCTAGATACTGGGTTATGCTTGTCTGAGTGAGTAGTGGGGTTTGATCGTCCATCTTATAATGCACCCACATCATCGAAGAGAAAAGCGCTTTTAAGCATAAACGAGTCTCGAACATAGAATCCTCAATTCACAGTCTAGACATGCTAACAACTAGCCCAGGCTAGGCTCAAAATAGAATGTAACGTTTCGCCATAGTTAACTTGACATCGTCGGGCGGAGAAACATTGTGCTACGTTTTAATTCTATTTAAATCCTGTTTTAGCTGTGTCTATGTTCTTGTTTTAAATTTCTTACAAGTATTTTAAGTTCGGGATAAAAATAAACATCACAATAATTATAAAAATATTTCACATTTCTATCATAACCTACTATTTATCATGCCATTACAAATCTTATTATTGATATGACGTTTGTGACCCTGGTTCGATTCCCGCAGTGGACAGAGCGCTAGTATGTAGCAATTCTTATATATTCATATAAATAAAAGTAGCTTTCTTTAGTTTCCTTTTACGAACGCTTTCTTTGACTAATATATATCTATCATAGTATATAACGGTTTATGGTGACAAAACGTTAGTTTGTAATATTAAATCACAATTAATAAGGCTGACAGAATTTTAAAAAATGACTATCAGTCTTGTTATGATGTAATACCACAAAAACTGCCGATTAATACATATCTATATAACATAGGTAGGCCTGGTGGTTAGGGCGCTCGACTCGAAATCTGGTGGACTGGGCGCTCGAATCCCCCTTTTAGCCGTGGGAGTGTTATAATGTGACAGTCAAGCAGACAGGGGCTACCAAGTGAAAATCAGAATCACTGATGAAGCATCAGCATCTAAGATGTCCCAACGGTTCTAAAAGTCCTCGGAACTCATATAAATATAAATCTCTAGGCACCACGACCATCTGGCCCGGCACGGCCAGGTGGGTAGGGCGCTCGACTCGCAATCTGCGGGTCGCGGGTTCGAATCCCCCTCCCACCAAACATGCTCGCTCTTTTAGCCGTGGGGGTATTATAAAGTGACGTTCAATCCCACTATTCGTTGGTAAAAGAGTATCCCAAGCGCTGCCTTCCCTCTAGTCTTACACTGCAAAATTAGGGGCGGCTAACGCAGATAGCCCTCGTGTAGCTTTGCGCGAAATT